CCCCAAAACCCCAAAACCCCAAAACCCCGTGTGTTTGGGTGAAGATGGAAAAGAGATGATAGTTAATATATGGGAGAGGGGTGTTGGCAATGATTAGATTAAAATTTATCTTTGCTTTCTTCTTTTTTGTGCTGGACCTCTGTTTGCTTTGGGGTTTTGTCTTTGAGATAATTTTTGGGATTGTTTTTGGCCTGGTTTTTGTTTTCTCTTATCCTTATTAAGAGAGTCAAACTCTGAATCGCTATGATCGCTCACATAGTCTTCAAGGTTTCTCTTTTTCTTTCTATTATTTCTACTGTTTCTCTTCTTCTGAATTGGAGTTAATGATATTGATTCTTTCTCATCTTCAGATTCTTCCTCGACGACCTGCTCGCTTTCCTCTGATTCACTTTCTTCCTCCTCTTCTTCAGATTCTAAAGACTCGTCACTTTCAGATTTATCTTCTTTATTATTTGTCTTTTCATAAGCTTTTCCAGAATTTCTCTTTCTTTTGTTTCTTGGAGCTTTAGGATCTTTTCTCTTTATTCCTTTTTGCTCAGCTCAGATTATTTCCGTCTGTGTAGGCCAATACAAGCTTGTTATCATCTGGTAGTAAACATCTGGGAGAAGACAAATAACTGGCCCAATCAGAGCAAGAATCCAAAAGTATAGAGATCCAAATTCTTGTTCTAAAAGTCCGGTTGCTTCTGGCTGGAAGGTGAAAGAGAAACCTTCTGTACTTCCAATAACAAGGATCAAATAGTATATTCCTAAGCTAATGAAAGCCATCAGGATTGAAAGCCAGTTCCAAAATATTGACTCTACAAATAGTTTCATTGTCACAAGATGGACGATCATCGTAAAAGCGATTGTTGAGCTATACCAGTGCTCTGCTGTTCTTCCATCTCCTACTATTCCTCTTGTGGAATACATTGGAAGGAAGAAGCAAGTTATGCCATGCCAGATTGAGAATAAAATCCATCTCCAGAACACTTTGAAATTGAAATAGATCTCATCCTGTCCAGCCTTATAAAGAACTGGATGTCTATAAGAATTTTCCACAGTAGCATCTTGTTCTAATGAATAAGTAAACAATCATGGGAAAGATGTAAAGAATGAGTTATAAAGCATAGGAAGCCAGTCAAGGAAATAGATCTGTCCTGAAAATCCATTGAAGAAGTGGAAATAAATCTCACATAAAGCGAGAAGAATATTTTTATAGAAGTAGTAACAGATCATATAAGAGACTCTTCTATATCCCCATCTTCCATGAACTAGCAAAAGCTTTTGCAAATGACTGAATTGGTTGATAGCAAAATCAGCAGTTCTAACAGCTTGAGTACCTTCCAATCCACGAATACCTATTCCAATATGAGCTTGCATAATCATTGGCACATCATTAGCCCCATCTCCAATAGCAATACAGATTCCTTTTTGAGTTGTCATATAATTCTCAACAATATCTGATTTCTGCTTGGGAGATACTCTGCAACATACCACAGATTTAGAAGCTCTACATAACTTAAAGAAGTTGTCAGTAACCTTTGGGTCTTTAAAAATAAGCTGGAGAGTACTACCGTCTACCACAACACTAATGACTTCTTTCTCATCAAAAAGTTCCTTTAGCTCAAGGTATTTTAACTCAGAATCAAGTGTTTGATTCAAAGTCTCCAGACTATCAAACGAGAATAAGAGCTCAGTCATAGATTCATCAAAAAGATTACATGATTTAGCAATTTCAATAGCTGTTTCCATTTTGTCACCAGTGAGCATCCAGATACTAATTCCTGCATCTCTAAGAAGTCCAATTGTCTGAGGAACTCCATCCTGGAGCTTATCTTCAATAGCTGTACAACCAATCAGAGTTAAGTCTCTTTCCATTTCATCATGTAACTTTGATAGCTCTTCTTCTCTATTTGCTTGTTTTGACGTTCTCGCTTTATCATACTTGTCTTTGAAGACTTCATATGCTTCTTGACTGAGTTCTCTGTATCCTAATACAAGGACTCTGAGTCCATCTGTGGCAAATTTATGCAGATTTTCTTCAGTGCATTTTTGAAGCTCCATATCCTCTGCAGAGTCAGCATTGAATTTGATTCTTGGGAGCATAACACTATCAGCTCCTTTCGAGTAAATAAAAATTTTCCCTTTGTCTTTTAGTATCATTGACATTCTTTTTCTGTCTGAATCAAATGGAAACTCAGCCAACACTTGGAAAGACTCTTCTTCTCCTAAATGAAAATAAGTCAAGCTCATGTAAACGTATAGGAAAACGGCTAATTTTTACTTAAAGCAAGCTGAGAATACTTACCAGTAATTCTATTTGAAATAATGACTTCTTCAGATGATCTTGCCACAAGTTCAAAACCTATATCTTTGGCTCCAGTTACAAGGGCTAGTTCATCAGGACTTGAAGATTGATATAGAACTTCTCCCTTATTTTCATCATCTCTATCACATACAACTGTGTGACAGACTCCTAGGATGATACAAAATCCTCTAAGAGAGAAAGTTAGGGGGTCATCATGACCTTTTCTCAAAGTTTTCCTCATAGCTTTTATGCTTGATTCTCAGAGGCCTTCTATATCTTTCTCTTCTCCTTCTAGTTCTCCATAAATCTTTTCAAGGACAGAGCACTTCTTAAGGACCATTTTGTTCATGGTGAGAGTTCCTGTTTTATCTGAAAAGATATATTGAACCTGGCCAAGCTCCTCAATGAGGTCAGAGTTATTACATTTACCATATTGTTCGTTCTCTTTGTGGTATAGTTCAATATCTCTGTTAATAAGATACGCTTGAATTAGTTTCAACAACTCAATAATGACATAAAGACTGATGGGGATCATGTGGGAGAAAGTTACCCAGTAGGTGAGAAGTTGGACTATCCAAGTTCCAAATCCTACACTAGTGCTCAAGTCAAGATACACGAGATCTTTTGCATTTGAATCTTGGAATGCTACAGATGCTGTTGCAAAGGTCAAGATAATAATCAACTGGAACATAAATACAGAGTATAGCAAATAGTTCATCTTCTTCATGATATTGGAGACCTTCTGTTTTGGCTTCTTAGAATTCATCATAATTTTGGTATGCTTTCCAAGGTTTATGGCAATTCCGATACAATAATCTGTGTTCTTAAGTACTGTATCTCTTAACAACAAATTTTTAACATCACAGATAAAGTTTTTCTTATATTTTGGGCAAGAAAGCTGGGCATCCCACTCTTCTAACAAGTGATTTGGAGCATCACAATAGATCTTGCCTTGAAGTTTTACAGCAGATTTATCAGTAAGTTTAGGAATAATAATAGCCTTGTCTTTAAGATTAGTCTCTCCATCAAGATTACTTGTATCTACAAAAACAAGACCATCAGTATTTGGAGTCACTAAGAGAAGCATATCAACTGGGAATTTATCTTCTTTCTCAATTCTTATAATATCTCCTACTCTGATATCTTTCCATTTTGTTTCTACAAATTCCTTTTGTTCATAGTCATAAGTTTCGCAAAGTCTTCCATTAGCCTCTTTATCAGCTTTATATCTGAAGTAATTTTCTAGTGCTTCTTTCAACATTGTTACAAAGAGCACAAAAGCAAACGTTCCAATCATTGAGGCCGGGGTCTTTGGTGAAAAAGGCATCAGTGTTAGGATAGAGATAATGAGGAAATAAATATTCGCAGCTCGTTTAAACTGCATTAATAAAGAGAGAGGAGCCCAAGATACCCAACTATATTTTGTGGTCCTAACTTTATTTGACATTCTTCTAAATTTGTTTTTCAAAATACTCTCTTCAGAGCCAAAGCTGATAGGAATAATGCCTCTTTCCTCAATTACGCTTTCTACCTCGCTTAAATTCTTTAGATCCATGAATGCAACACTTGGTCTTTTACCATCCTTGATGTCCTTATTTAGAAGGGACTATATCGTTAAGATGAGAATTGGAAGCATCAATCTGCTCGGCATCTTCAGAGCTGCTTTCTTCACTTGGAGTTTCTTCTGCTTCTGAGCTACTGGGGTTTCTAACTTTGCCACCTCCAAGGGCGCTTAATTTGCCACTAATTTTGCTGGAGTCTTCTTCTGATTCGTCCTCTCTTTCAGCAACTTTCTTTCTCTTCATCTTTGAATTTTTATTTGTCGGCATTTAAATTTTATAAATTTTTCCTTCAATCTCTATGTAAATAGCAGGGGTTTTGGGGTTTTGGGGTTTTGGGGTTTTGGGG